TTTTGTAGGTGCACCATTTGCAACAGAGGAGAAAGAGGAAAGGCGGTAAGCAGAAAGTGAGTATGATTGCAATGGCAGGCCATTCTGATTAGGCAGATATGCAGAGTGGACAGCTGTTCTTAATCAACTTAGCCAGACAACAACTTGAAGCAAAGGCTACTGGAACGACTTTGTCAGTATGGTCAATTTTGTTGCATCGTTGATGATGTTGAAATGTGTTCATACGCAGAGTTATGTGTGCACGTGTACTGCTGTCTTTCAGTAATAGAATAAGATGTATCTATGAAATGAGGTGGCTTTGTAAGGCTCAACTTCCATTTATTAAAAAAATAATAAATTAATTAATCTGAATATGCATCTTAAATAGGCATGACCTTAACAGTTGGAGGGCAACTTAAAACTACTCAATTTATAAATGGTTGGGTTTTTCAACACCATGGATGTATTTTTTTTTTCTGAATAATATTATACCTTTATTTACCACACGTGCATTATTTTCAGCTGCCTGGCTTGTCTTGTTTGTTGATTATATTTTTGGTTTCAATATTGAGAGCACTCAAACTGAATCCTCCTCAATCCCTATGTATTAAATTTAATTACTTTTAAATTTCCAATGCTTAGGTATCATGTTAACACTGCAAATACTAAATAATCATCTGAAGGGAAAAGGTGACTCTTCTGATTTTCCCATAGGCCCTAATCCTCCCATACGATCATGTTGCAACACTGAGCTAGCACGGTCCAGTTGGCTTCAGATGAGCTTTGCACCAACTTTAAGGACTCACATTTTGCCTTATTGCAAAGCATTACTGGCATTGGGTTGCTGCAGGACTACTTTGTGTTTATTTGCTGTAAACAAGAAGAAATATTTATTTAATACCTGCATCTCAAAGGCTGAGTCTCGCAGATAAGAGGCTGCCTTGTTGAAAGCTGCTCAAACAGCCTTTATTTAAAAGCACTGCTTACCGTAGCTTAGTTTCTGGTCTACTCGACACAATTGCAGGCTCTGGTAAAATTAAGAGAGGGATGATTCATACACCTGGAGAAAGAATTGGATATTCAAGTCACTTGTCAGGCTGGCAGCTTTAAATTATATAACAGGAAGCTTTCTATTCAGATGTAATGTCACTGAATCACCACTTCTTTATTGATAATTCATTATATGTTGCTGCTATCACTCTGCAGCTCTGAAATGCTTTTTGCTATAATGATTTTATACCATACTAGTATAATGGCCTTCTGACTGTGTCAATCAGCACTACTTGCGTGTACAATAATATTATTCTGCAATCTGTCTTGGGAGAATGCTTAAAAGCTTTCTCTCATTTTCTCCATTTAACTCATGTATTATCTGAGTTTTTACATTAAATGGCCATACTTAATATCCCATGACATGTCACCTATTTTCTAGGGAGGATACTGATACAGTACTTACCAATTCCAGAATCTATACTAATCAAATTACACCTGCCCACTTCAGCCAAGAGCAGCAGTTCAGTGCATCAGCATTTAATCTGTAGAGAGAACTTGCGAGGAGGAACAAAAACACTGTGCTGTGAACTGCAGCCTGCTAAATGCGGGCATGGTTGATGCGATTTGTTTTGCAAAGAGGAGTTAGATGATACTGAAGTCAAGCCGAGGTACAGGGGGCATATATACAGATTTATTGCCAGAGCTTCACCCACACTGGTGGCACATTGAAGGACGAGGCTCAATCCAGCAGCTGTGTATGCAGTTTCTGCTGTGCATGTTGAGGTAGGTAGTTCTGCTGTGTGGGGCTTCTGGCTGTAAATGTGGATTTGTGTGCAGATGTAACAAACTCAAGGCGTTAGGTCCAGCTTCACAGAGAATTCAGTCCCAGTGCAGATAACAATTGTGGTTTTGCATTTAAAGGTTGTCCGTGAGTCCCACGTAGTTCCTGTAGGCCTCTTCCACCATCAGAGTAATGTACTGGAAACTTTAAGACTTGAAATTCCAGCTGCTGAACAAAAATTCTTATGCAGGTATCAGGGCCAGAGCACAGAGTATGGTGTAGATAGATCTTTACCCTAAAAAAATGGATACACTTATATCTTAGTTGTTTGGTTCAGTGAATGCTGTGATGCAATTAATTTCTGGGCTAAGGAATTAAAAACTATTTGCCGAATAGATCTGAAAATGTTTCAAGAAAACAGGTGTCCATTTACATTATTAGCATTTGCTAATATTGCAGTCCTGTGCACTGCGTGCAAGAAGTTCAGGCCAAATTACTGCAGCAAGCCTCCAGTCTCCAAGTGCAGGCAGAGCGAATTTGCTCAGCCACACAGGAAGAATGGTAAGGCTCAGAAGAAGTGGTTTAATTAGGCTGCAGCCTTATTAACTCAGGAGACAATAAATGGTGCAGTTGGCATTGTCATTCTTTCCTCGGTCTGTTTTCAAGCCAGCTCTCCTTGGGAATTGGGTATTCCTGCCTGGAAACCTGCAGCTGTGAGAGTAGGAGACCTTTATGTTGACAGCAAGGAGAGAAGATCCTCAGCAGTCATGAGGTGATATAAATGTTTCTGGGACTTGTGTAAGGGAGCATACATCCTAATGCACAGGCAAAAAC